CTATAGGTTAGGTACAATTTTTTTTTTGGTAGGAGGGAGCCTGCTTATGATCATGAACTCTTGCTCTGATGCCTGGATTGCTCCACCCCCCTCCCTACCCATAACCTCACCTCCACCCCCACCTATCTGAATCAGATTACCCATTTCCTTTGCTGTCCAGGAAATGAGTGGAGCTGGCCAGGCATCTATAGGGTATAACCCAAGGGCTCCCTGGGCAGTCAGAATGGATCCGTTCCACCCTTATGAGCAGTCCTCTGGCAGGATGGGTTCTCGTGGACAGACGCCAGGCCCAGGGGTGAGGACTTCAGTCATGCTTGTAGGGTAGAGTGATTCCTGGGCCTGGACTTGCTGGCTTGCCCTGGCTGCAAAGTGGTGTTCATGCCATTTATGGTCTGTGTTTTCTCCCACCTGCACCTGTGCCCGTGAGCAGGAGAGGCTGGAGAGAAGGGCAAGGAGGAGCCACTGCCCGGCCTGGACGTCTTCCTGAGCCGCTACACAAGTGAGGACAATGCCTCCTTCCAGGAGATCATGGAGGTGGCCAAGGAAAAGAGCCGGGCACGCCATACCTGGCTCTACCAGGCTGAGGAGGAGTTTGAGAAGGTATCTCCAAGGCATGTGGGCATAGGCCTCTTTGTGGGGTGGGGAGAGCCACAGGCACAGTGCCTGGGGACATCTCTGATCATTGTTTTTCCCCGTGTGATTGCAGAGGCAGAAGGATAGTCTTACACTCCCATCAGCAGAGCATCAGGCTATCCAGAGCAGCCAGGCGGGTGTGGAGACCTGGAAGTACAAGGCCAAGAACTCCCTCATGTACTACCCAGAGGGTGAGTGGGCAGGGCTGGCAGCTGGGTGGGAGGAGCAGGATGAAGCCATGGTTTCTGCTCTGAGACTGGGCCAGACTTCAGGGTATATGTGTGTGCCCCTTGCAGTATGGGCCTCAGAGAGGTCCTAATCTATTCAAGGTCAATGGGTCTTTTGCAGTCGGCAGGGAGTGAGGCCCTCCAGCTGCATTCAGGGTCTGAGCTCGGCTTGATTCTTCTGTTCAACTGGGAGAGTGAGCCTGCTCCTGTCCCTCAGGCCACTGGATTGCTGGATGGGCCCTATCCACTGCCCTGACACCTGCTGTGTCTGCCAGGTGTCCCTGATGAAGAGCAGCTGTTTAAGAAGCCCCGGCAGGTGGTACATAAGAACACACGCTTCCTTGGGGACCCCTTTAGCCAGGCCCTCAGCAGGTGCCAGCTCCAACAGGCGGCTGCCCTCAATGCCCAGGTAAGCTGTGGGCTAGCAGGGCCACATGGGGCTAGGTGTGGCAGGGTTGGCCGGGAACAGGCACAGCCTATTTGATGTCCTTGGGCTTAGTGGAGCTCAGTGGGTCGAAGTATTGGGGGCCCCTGTATGGCAGGGTCCTGAGTTTTTACTTAGCTTCTGGTGGGCACTGTCTTAGCCAGACATGTTCTGTGGGTCCAGATCTGTGCCATCTTCCTTGATGGAAAGGGCTAGACAGTGAGGTGGGCAGGTGGGGAAGCCAACAGGCCCCTGAGGGTAAGCTGGGGTGAGAGAGTACTCAGGGTGGCAGAGGGCAGAGGTTTTCTGAGCTGGAGACATGATGAATGGGTACTTTCTACGGTGATCGTGCGACCGTGGGTCCCAGGTAGGAGATGGAAAGAGACTAGTGCACAGGTCCCTTTGTCAGAGTTTCCTGCCGTAGGGGCATCAAGTCAGTAAGTAACCAGTCTGAAAGTAACCAGGGTGGGATGCCACCTGAGCTGAGGGCCCAGGCACCACCCTGGATGGGAGGCGGGGGGTTGCCCTTGCTCAGATGCCCATTCTGACAGGCCTTATGGTCTTTTATGGGGTGGGGTCAGGGGTGGGGGCATTTTCCCTCTTTTCCCAAGGCAGCTGCCAGCCCCAGAGTCCTGACTTTGCCCTGAGGAGGGTAAGTATTTCCAGCATGTTCCTGTGTATCAGCCAGATGGGGAGAGGGCTCTGGCCCCCTGACACGAGCCTCTCTGCTTGTTCTAGCACAAACAGGGCAAGGTGGGCCCCGATGGCAAGGAGCTGATCCCCCAAGAGTCCCCCCGAGTGGGTGGATTTGGATTTGTTGCCACTCCTTCTCCTGCACCTGGTGAGAATACACCCCTGGCAGACCGGCCCACTGCTGGGACTGCCTGGGGGGAAGTGGGCTATCAGCTGGGCACTCCTGGCTGTCCCTCTGGTTTGCCCTGCACCTGTGTGACTCAGGGACCTGGTGTTCCCTCTGTGCAAAGACGGAGCTGGGCTCCAGAGCCCTGAGAGGCAGGCCCCAGGCTTGCGGGGGCTGTGGGAAGGTGGGAATCTCAGGCAGACGTCCTCCCAACCTAAGAGGTCCTGGGGTCATGGCTCCAGTCCTTACTGCTGTGAGCAGGTAGGATGCTATGTGCATAGGGAGCACTGGAGGGTGGGGGGCTCTAGGCACTGGCAGGTGGGACCCAGGATGGTTCTAGGGTCCCACCTCTGGCTCCCTCCACAGGCTTCTGTGCTCTCGGGTGCTTGTTATCATGACGCAGGCCAGGGCCTGTGGAGGTGCCATGTTTGCCTGGAGTTCTAGGAGGTCTGGGAGCCCCGGAAGGCCCAAGTGTCTCTTCCTTGGGGTGGGAGGGGACCTTGGGGACACTCCAGGGTGAGCACATGGCCTTGGCATTTCCCTCTCAGAGGATGGAGATTCCAGGGTGCTGGGGACGGAGAGGGCCAGTTGTTGGCCTTCAAGTTAGCAGGCTGCATGTGGCCAGAACTGGCTATGGCTGGGAGGGGGCCTGGGCAGGGCCCTGGGTACTCTGGCCTGAGGTGGCTATGGGCTATCCATCTGCAGGTGTGAACGAGTCTCCACTGATGACCTGGGGGGAAGTCGAGAACACACCCTTGAGAGTAGAAGGATCAGAAACTCCTTACGTGGACAGAACCCCTGGTCCAGCCTTCAAGGTCGGTTGTGGTGAGGTGGGGCAGGGTGGGATTCAGTGTGGACGCCTGCTAGATCCTGACTGAGTACCAGGGATGGGACCCCAGCTGCCACTGGTCCAAGCAGGGCTGACTGACAGGACAGAGCACTGGCACTTCTGAGTGCCAGGCTGTCTGCAGACAGCTATGGTGGATGGGGTGGGGAATGTCACAGGCAGATCTGCTGGGGTAGGGGCTGAGGCACCAAGGCAGGGAGTGGCCTCGGCCCCTGTAGAGCCTGGAGCTTGGGGACTGTTTGTAGATGAGGTGGAATGTCCCAGAAAGACCAGCCACTATGACTAGAGGATGTGGCTGTGTGCTTGCAGAGAAAGGCCTCTGTATACAGAGCACAATAGAAACATGGGCTGTGTGGCTCAAGCCAGGGTTGCAGGAGTGGGTCAAGTGGTGTGTTTAAGGTGTAGAACAGGTGGGGGGGTTGGGGTCTTGACAGGCCACGTCAGATGTGACTAGGCAGGGAAGATGTGTGCCTTGGCCCGAGTGCCAAGCAGGGCAGGGAAGCTGGGTGGCAGATGGTATAAAGAAATGGGGTAGCCCTGGAGAGGTACTGAGAAGATGAGGTGCTCTCTGCAGGGAGTTTTTAGGGATACCAAGTGACAGGTGTGATTTGGAAAGGAGGAAAGGTCCTGGAAACGTGGGCGCATGCATGTCCCCTGTTGAGGAGCCGGCCCTGCCTGTGCTGAGTCTGGGTGGGAGATGGTACAGGATGCAGGGGTTGGTGTTGCTGCAGAGACCATGGGTGTGGCTCTCCTGGCCAGCTGGAGAGGAATACCAGAAGAGATGGAGAGTGTGGCGGAAACGTGGGGGCCAGGAGAGGTGGCTGAGCAGGTCATCTGCAGCCAATTCCTATAAACACTGGCAGTGATCAGTGTAAGTTCACTTGTGTAGCAACAGAAATTCAGAACAACTAGAAATAACTTAGTGAATGTAAAGAAAACCAGACTTTACCACAGACTGGAGGGGGGCACCTGCCTGCCTGGCCTGAGGGCACTCTCCCATCCCTGGGACTTGGGCCAGGAGGCCTCTGGTGTGGCGCTGGTCCTCCCCTAGAGGTAAAACATGTCTAGACAAAGTGTGAGCAGAGGTCTTGGGCACCTTGGTTCTAAAATGTGCCTGGGATGCAAGGATCACCAAGACAAACTTGAGAGCAAAATAACAAAGAGGAAGCTGGGCTGTCGAATGTGCAGATGCGTCCTAAGGCCCTGGGCTCCTTAGCTGAAGAGGTTCTCCCAGAACCTACAGGCCAGTAGAAATGGAATTCTGAAACAAACCATAGTCCTGCTAAGAATTTGGGGTCTAGGCCAGGTGTGGGGGCTCACACTGCTTATCCCAGCCCTCTGGGAGGCTAAGGTGGGAGGATTGTGTGAGCCCAGGAATTCAAGGTTACAGTAAGCTATGATGATGCCACGGCACTCTAGCCTGGGCAAGAGTTTGACTCTGTCTCTAAAAGAATTTAGGGTCTGATAAAAGAGGGTAATTCACGTTGTTCTGAATAGCAGAGTACTTGGAAATAAAGTGATATGTATAGCAGAATAAATTCTAGAAAGACATAAGGGTAATGGTAAAAAACAATAAATAGAACTTGAAGAAAATAAAGGCAAATATTTTGTCTGATTTTCTTTTTCTTTTTGAGACATTCTTCCTCTTGCCCCAGGTAGAAAATTGGAGCATCATCATAGCTCACTACATCATAGCTCTGGGAGGCCAAGGTGGGACGATCATGAGCTCAGGAGTTTGAGACCAGCCTGAATAAGAGCAAGACCCTGTCTCTACCAAAAATAGAAAAAATAGCCTGGTATAGCGATGGGCGCCTGTAGTCCCAGCCACTTGGGAAGCTGAGCCCAGGAGTGAGTTTGAGCTTGCAGTGAGCTATGATGATGCCACTGCACTCTAGCTGGAGTGATAAAGTGAGACACTGAATCTTGAAAAAAGAAAAAATAGCTTCTAGTTTGGCAAGAAGTTAAAAAAGGGGGTGGGGGGGAAGGTAAAGCAAATTACTCAAAAGAAATTTGCATGGCATAGCTTAATTTAACTTGACACAGGTAAACCTCCTGTAAAAGTAACAACAGAACAGAAAAAATGAGATGAGTTCATTGAGAGAAAAATAGTTCATGAACACACATAGTAAGTTCTTGAAAGAAGTACAGGAGGTCTGTAAAGGTAGATGCTCACTCTAGCAATCAGGGAAACAAACCAGGACACACTTGTTTCCCTGAAAGATTGTTGGAGGCTCATGACTTGCTGGGCCTGCCTTTGGGAGGAGCCTGAGGACAGATGAGGGGTGCCAGACCCTGGGTTGTGGGCAGGTCCTGCAAGGGCTTTCTGAGGCAGCAAAAGTGAGTTGTTGGGACTGTGAGGCCTCGAGGAGAGCCCGGCGCCCACAGCAGTGGCCATCTGTATAAAGGACTGTCTTGCTGATGGCCACCCCCACACTTACTGCCTTGTAGATCTTGGAGCCGGGCCGCAGGGAGCGGCTAGGGCTGAAGATGGCCAATGAGGCTGCTGCCAAGAACCGGGCCAAGAAGCAGGAGGCCTTGCGGAGAGTGACAGAAAACTTGGCCAGGTGAGGCGCAGCCTGGTCCCAAGTGGAGGGGAGAGTATCTCTGCCTTGCTTCTGTTCGGCACCCCTGGCATTGTGAACTCACGGCCCAAAGGTGGAGTCTGGGGCAGGTCTGCCGGGTTTTTCAGCATTTCTGATTCAGAGTGTGGCCTCAGTGAACCAGGGACACTGGTTTTCCCAACATTTCTTTCCTCCACCTCCTCTTTAGCCCGTCCCTATGAGGCACCCTTAGGCCTGTGGTCCTATTATGAGGGCCTGTCATCATTCCCTTGGAGAGGGTAGAGACTCCAACTCTGAGAGGTCTAGGGGTCCACCTCTGCCTCCACAGCCAAGGACAGCACCTCAAGGTTGGCCTCACTGCTGGCACCTGTGCAGTGCTGTCATCAGCTCAGAGTGACCATGTGTCTGCTCAGGCTCTTCCTGGGGCCAAGAGAGGGCTGCTGCTGGTAGCACACCATCCTCCTAACCCTGCCTCTCTCACCATCCCTTCACCCCAGCCTCACCCCCAAAGGTCTCAGCCCAGCCATGTCTCCAGCCCTGCAGCGTCTTGTGAGTAGGACTGCCAGCAAGTACACAGACCGGGCCCTGAGGGCCAGCTACACGCCATCCCCAGCACGCTTGACCCACCTCAAGACCCCGGCTGGTGGGCTGCAGACCCCCACAAGCACGCCTGTCCCTGGTTCTGCAGTACGCACCCCTGTCACGCTAGATCCAGCCTCCATCACGGACAACCTGCTGCAGCTCCCTACCCGGCGCAAAGCCTCAGACTTCTTCTAGAGCCAGGCCTGGGCTGGGCCAGGGGACAGCTTGTGGAGCCTACAATGTAGCTGCCCACCCAGCAGAGGACTCCAGCCTTCTGGGTACCCAGCCCTAGGCTGCAGTGGTCAGCTGTCCCCAGAAGCGCAGGAAAAGAGAGCCCTGCTGTAGCCAGGCGGGCCCACACCCAGGCCCTACCAAGACTTTTCTCTTTAACGTCCCTGCCCCTGAACTATCATTAAAGGGCACCTGCACTGTCTGGTGGGGCTGCCTTTTTGTCTCATTCCCACGCAGGCCGGAGAGTTGTCCTGGGGCTTGCCTTGTGTCTCAGGATTGTGGGCCTTGAGGTGAGGGCCCCCCATGGGAGAATGCTGTGAGTGGGTGGCCTCGGGAGGGCTTGGTGGCCACAGCATTGCTGTCTGTGACCCCGAGAACCTGCCTTCTGAGCTGAGCTCCCTCATGCACCCTGCCTTCCGCTCCTCTGAGGGAGAAGGGAGCCCTTGGGAATTGCACCTCAGCATCCCAGCAGGGTCAGCGCTATAGTCTGCTGATAATAGGGCTGCATATCAGGCCGTACTCAGCACTGGGTACCTTCTCCCAGCACCTGGCTTCCAGCTTAGGCCGAGCGGGCCATGTCCATCTTCCTGCCCTTATGGCCACACACTGCTGCAGGAACAGCCCTGCCCTGTCATCATCCCCACAAGCAGGAGCTCACAAATAGTGGTGACCTGAGCAGTGACCTTACAGGAACGGGGGTAGACTCCACACAGGCCCACTCAGCACTTGCCCATGGTTTGAGGATGTCAGTGTCTGGCCCACAAAGGCCCAGGAGCCTGCTTCCCAGAGGTGGAAGGGACCCACTGGGCCCAAGACCATGGTCTGCTCCCAGGCTGGTCTCTTCAGGCCTCAAGTGGAGGTCACAGATAACGCCCTCTGATGATGCTTGGGGATACCCCTGGTCCTTGCTCACACTGGACCTTCCTCCGAGCAGGCCCAGCCCTCTGCTAGGTGGTCTTCTCTGGTCCGCCTGCCCCTTTTTTAAGGTCCATTCGGGGCCTGACAACTGCCTGGAGTCCCTGCTAACCTGTGCTCCTCCACAGTGAGTTCCTGGGGTGGCCGAGCCCTAGGCATGCCTTGGAACCCTCTGTGGGGCTTGGTGGTAGACTCGGGCTATTGAGGTGGGGAAGGTCCCCAGGGGAAAGGGTAGACTTTCCTATGGAGGGAGCTCTAGGAAGTGGGGTTGGGGAGGTCTGGGTGAGTGTGAGGGAGGAGGGGTGTAGTCCAGGGCTGCTCACCTCTAGCACTTGGCCAGCGTGTGAGGAATGTGCTGTGGGAGTGACAAGTGACCCAACAAACAGGACAAGAGAGACTAGCCAGTGCTGCTGAGTGTCCGGCAAGCACAGAATGGGTGTTAGGGTGGGACAGGTGAACGGTTTTATCTGGGTTTGCCCCTGGGAGGTGGAACAGGAGGGGTGAGCGCCAGGGACATCAATCTTAAATGCCCACTGCCCTGTGAGGGGTGGATGGGGTCTGAGAGGGCTGCACTTTGCAGGGGCAAGACATGGGCTGGTTGGTCCTGGGGCTGTGGGGACGGGGGGACAGCCGTGGGGCTTGGGGGGTGGATGTGGCAGAGGTCCTCTCATGCCTCTGAGGCCTCACGGTGAATCTGCCTGTGCCTGAGCGCCACTCCCTGGACCCCTGTGGAGACCCCCGCGCGGCAGGGAGGGCAGTAAGCTGAGTGCTAGAGAAAAAGACTCCTCACTGAGCACTCTGGAAGCTTGTATACACTTTGTGGTTTATTTGGTGGTAAGTAATGTCTTTGCTACTAAGTGGAAGAAAGCTAATAGAACGTAATCAAAATAGTGGTTTAATTGACGAATTTTACTTGTTCCTTGCCCCTGTGCCTTCTTCAGCTCCTACCTGCCTACTTAGTTTACGGGGGCGCAAACCACGCACCACTTCCCCAAAGCCCTCGCCACCGCTAGGTACTTGCTTTCCCCACCTCGGCTCCGGAGACATGATGGTCTTTGGCCCTGGAGGTCTCGGCCAGCCTGTCCTCCATCCTGTCCTCATTCTCCGGCACCACCAGCAACCGGTGCTGGGTTTTGGCTCCCAACTTGTGGTCCGGCCGGTGGTCGGGCCTCGAGCCCGGCCGGGTGTCCAGCTTGTACTCGGCCCGGTACTTGCCCTCCCCCTCTCTCTTGAAGGAGGCGGAAGACATGGCTTTGGGCTTGGGGGGCTGCAGCCACGAGTGGCTGAGGATCTCGTCAATGTGCAGCCGCCGGTTGACGTCAGGCTGCAGGATGCGGTAGATGAGGTCCTTACACTCGCCCGTCAGGTTCTTGGAGCGTGGGAAGTCCACACGGTGCTCCTTCTGGATGCGCAGCATCTTCTTGATGTCGGAGTCATCATAGGGCATGGAGCCGCAGACCATGATGTAGAGAATCACACCCAGACTCCAGATGTCGTACACCTTGGGCTGGTAGGGGATGCCCTGCAGCACCTCGGGGGCCGCGTATGCTGCCGACCCACAGAAGGTCTTGCTGAGGATGATGCGGCCGCTGCCGTCCCGCACACAGCGCTTGGAGAAGCCAAAGTCAGACAGCTTGATGTTGAAGTCCTTGTCAAGGAGAAGGTTCTCACACTTGAGGTCACGGTGGACGACGTCCAGGTCGTGGCAATACTTGACTGCTGAGGAGAGTTGGCGGAACATCTTGCGCGCCACGTCCTCATGCAGGGCCCCCCGGCACTTGATGAACTCGAGGAGGTCACCCTGGACCCCGAGCTCCATGACGATGTAGATCCGCCCATCAGAGGTCTCAAAGATCTCGTAGGTCTTAATGATGGAGCGGTGGTTGACGGTTGCCAGGATGTCCATCTCCCGAGGAAGGAATCTCTCCACAAAGTCAGTGGGCGTTTTCTTGCGGTCAATGATCTTGACGGCCACGTTGAACTTGAGGCGCTCAGAGTAAGCAGATTTGACTTTTGCGTACGAGCCCTTGCCAAGATTGATGCCCACGATGTAACCCTTCTTCCTTAGGACCGTGGCATCATCCATGGTGCCAGGAGCGGCTGGCGCCGCTGCCCTCTACATCACCCCCCAGCGTGGGCCAGCAGGCATTGTCCTCATTTACACTGCGGGGAGGCGTCTGGCTAGGCTGGGCCTGGACTTGGAGGGGTGGAACGCTCAGCATTGTCTCCAGGTGACTTCAGCGAATGAAGTCACAAAGCCAGGCTGCCAGGAGTGGGGACTGGGCTGGGGGGAACAGGGCCCCTGGAACCCTGGAAGCCAGGCCATCCTGGTAGGAGCGCCCACTCCCCACCCACTGGAAAGAAGCTGGCACCAGAACTATGGTAACCTTCCCTGCTCTTCTTCCTGGCTGTGGCTTCCCTGCCATGTCAGGCCCAAGGGGAGGTAGCCCAGGTCCAGCCAGAGTACCAGCCCAAAGTCCATTTCCCTCACTGGGTGTGGGGACTGACCCCATGTTGGTCCTCATTCCACCAACGCCTGTTTCCTGCAGCTTCTTTGGGGTGTGCAGAGAGGCCCCTCTAGGGCTTGTGTCCTTGGGACCCGCAGTGCCTGGGAGGCCCTGCCTTGGTCCAGCCAGGCTGGCAGTGGTGCCAAGCCTGTGGGCAAAAGCAGCTCAGTGTTTGGGAGCAGGAGCTGGCAGGTCATTGGGGTAGGAAGCCAGGCAGGTGAGTTGCAACTGCTCCAGTGAACAAGGTGCGTGTGTAGATGGCAGGTCATGCTCAGGGATGCTGTGAGTGCTGGCTGGGTGCCAGGTGTCCAGGACAGGGAGGTGCATGTTTCAAGGGGAGGGGCAGGGCTTCCATCAGGTAGAGGAGGAGGTGAGGTACTCCAGCAGGAAGGGGCCTGGGAGATGAGAGGCCTAGTCTGAAAGCAGCTGAGGAGGACAAGTTGGGAGGGAAGTGGAGGAGACAGCTGGAGCTTTTTCTGTGACAATATGGCCATTGCAAGGTACAGGACAGGAGGAGACACTATCCAAGTTGCATTTTAAGGTGGTCACCAGCAGAGAAGAGAATCGGCTTTAAGGTGTAAGTGGGGCCAGTGCCTTTGAGCAGATGACAGGAAGGCTGCTGGGCCTGGGCAGCCCCTGGGGAGAGATGGAGGCTGTGAAGAGCAAGGTGAGTGCAGGGGCAAGGCCTTGGTGCGCAGGTGGAGGCCAGCAGCCTGGAAGAGTGAGCACCTGGGTGAGGAAGAGTCCTGAGCCTCCTCACTTCTGGCCTTTGTGAGGCATGGGCAGCGATCGATTCTGCCAGAACCCTGGCACTGCACAGTGTCTGCCTCTCATGCTGCCTTTTGTGTCTGGAAGTAACATGAATATCTCCGTCTCCTTTCAGGGCATGTGTGGATGTTTGCTTTGGATAAGGTGGCATCCTCTGTGTGTCTTCTTAGGAACTTGGGAGGCCCTGGTGTTCATCTGTGCTTACAGGCATTGCAGCCCAGGGGGAAGCTGCCAGGACAGGAAGCCGTGTGCTCCGTGTTCAGGGAGGCGGGGAATAAGGGCTGTGTCTACACGGGGCTGGTCACAGAAGATTTCAGAGGAAGTAATGTCATAGCCAGGTGCAGAGAGGGTGAACAGGCTGCGTAGGTGACAAAAGGAGCAGGACGTAAGGCACACATCTTCCCTAGAGTGCGAAGGACATGCTGTGTGTCTGGAGGCTGCTGGGGAAGAAGCAGGCAGGGCAGCTAAAGTCAGGGTGTCAGGCTGAGAGGCTTGGGGTGGGCAAGATGGGCCCACAGCAGCTGCCTCCTGGTGGGGACAGTCCTCGAGCCCCATCTGAGCTCTTTATGGCATCTGTGGTTAATAGTTTTTGTTTTGTTTTTTTTTTTTGCAGTTTTTGGCCAGGGCTGGGTTTGAACCTGCCACCTCTGGCATATGGGGCCAGTGCCCTACCCCTTTGAGCCACAGGTACCTCTCTGTGGTTAATAGTTTTAGCTCTGTGCATTCCTATCTCCTAGGCGATGTCTCTGTCCTGGTAGCCTGGGCCCAGGAGCATGGTACCTAGCTTTTTCTATCCAGGGTGTCTCTGTATCTGGGCTGATTCTACTGACTTATTCTTCCTCTGCTTCCTCACACCCTGCTTTTGCCCAGGACAGGTTCTTGAGGTACATGCCAAAGCAGGCAGGTATCAGCACTGCACAAGCAGAACTGACAGGGTGTGGAGCTGGTGGCTTCATTCAGGGTGTGCCCACAGGGCAGGCACTCCTGGAATGTTCAGGGGAGGGGTTGGACTGGACCTGCAGAGCTGCAGGTCTGCTCCTCTGGTGCTGCAGTCCTGTGGGCCAGGATCCTGCCTGTTCTGGGAAATCCACTCCTTGTGAGTTTCACCTTCTTTATGAAGTGGGCATCCCTGTTCACCATTCACCCCACAGCACTGGGGTCAGCTCTAGGTGCTGCGGCTCACTGAACTGCAGACAACCATGCCTTCCTGGAGCTAGCAAGTGTGCGTGCATGATGGTGGCTGCGCTGTGACGCAGCAGTCATGGAACTATGAGGACAGAACTGGGGGGTTGGGCTTCACGGGAGGCTGGAGAAGACTGAGATCTGAGTAACTAGCCAGGCAGAGGAGGATGAGGATAGGTATTGTGTGTGACGGCCTAATGGGGCACAGTGTGGCAGGAGCATGGACAGGCTATGGAGGGCCACATTGACGTCCTGATCCCAAGGCTTCTGAGGGTCCCTGAGAGGTCGGTGCCAGAGCTGAGCCCAGTGGCTGAGCTGCCTTAGGAGTCACCTGGCATGGTGAGGCCACCGGAGCCTGCTGCTCTGGACAGTGACTCGGGTTCCCTCCTGCTTCCACCCACAGAGCACATAGCAGGTACTGCTCCTGTGGGCCTGTCCCCAGCCAGGCTGCCAGGCTGAGCTTCAGTGAGGCATGCAGGGGCCTTCCTGATGCCCCTGCTCTGGGGACCACTGACCCACAGGGATGGTGGGTGGAGATGTGTGACCCACCCATCAGGACAGCCCACTGACTGGCCCCTGTGTTCTGGATCCTACTCCACCATGAAAAACAGGATGACTAGTCAGCACAGCTCGGGGCCTGTGCAGACCTCGGGCAGCCACAGGTTGCTGAGTCCTGTCAGGGACCCCCAGCAAGCTTAGCAGTGGCTATGGCCCTCTAGCCCAGCATAGAGAGGCAGAGTGTGCAGGGGTAAGTCCCCAGTATGATTGTGGGGTATGACATGGTATGGTGGGGAGAACTGGTGCTGGGAGGCCAGCAGAGGAAGGATGAGGCCGAGGAGGAGGCCAGCCCTGGGTTCCTTCCCATGGGCAGTGGGAGCCAGACTGGGGGGGTCCTCTGGCCACTGTAGGGGAGCAAGGCTGTGGGGAGGGAGGGAGGAGCAAGGTGAGAGGTGGGCTGGGTGTGGGGAGGGCTCCCAGGAGGGCAAGTCCAGGCTCTCACTGGACCCCACTTCTCCCAGGGTGCTGGGCATTGGAGTTGTCGAGAGACAGGCCACGGGAGAGGTGAGTCTGAAAACTCTTGCCCTTTGTGTGTGTTGAACCCTCAGGCCCACTTGAGGTTGTCCAAAGAGTGGTGGAGAGGAAGGCCCTGCAGTGACCTGCCTGAGGCAGCTTGGGCAGCACATGCTTCCTGCCCTACTCACCAGCGTCAGCTTCTCAGCTGTGGCAGTGGTGGTGGTGGGGTCACTCCTGGGGACAGGCTGGGACTCAAGGGGAATGGGATATGCTCAAGGCTACACCCAGGCCATCCACTTCTTCCAGACTGGGGAGATGACCATGGGGGGGGTGACTTTGGGCACTATTAAAAACTGGGTGCTGGCTAGACACAGGGAAACCTGTGGAGGACAGAGCAGAAAAAAATGAGTCACCTAGCAGGTTGGGGAGCTTGGTGGAGGGGGGCGGGGCAGGAGACTGAGACACTAGTCTGCTTATCCTCTGCAGTGTCCCCCTTACTCCCAATAGGCTTGTGGGGCTGCCCAGACCCCCAACTGCAATTGCAGACGGAGCCAGCCCTGCCAGCCCTCCTCTGTGGCAGCTACCTCAGTGCCCTTCTTGGTCCTGTCCTCTCCCACCCTCTTTCCACCTGGACAGTGCACTTGGAGCATTGCTGTTGAAACAGCAGCTTCCTCACTCAGCTCTTGGCTCTGCCCTCCCCCGTACCCCATACCTCCCATCCCCACCTCTAACCCGTGCAGCTGCTAGAGGTGACAGGGGGAGGGAACTCTGGGGTGTGTTTTCCCAAGCCAGGGAAGAATTGAAATGGGATCCAAGTGGGAGGCCAGGGGGAGCCCAGAACTGCATTCAGCCGGGGCAAAGACATTCACCTTGGGGTTTGCACTAATATAGTGATTTATTGCTTCTTTAGCCATATGGGTTACCACGTTCAAAGGGAGGGAGAAGAAACTGACGAAAATAGCGGCTCATCCAGGACTGTCTTCCTCCTTTGGCTTGTCCCTTGACTTCCTCTGAGCTCAGGCTCCAAGCCGAGAGCTCTGCCTCATTCCCTGCTGGCCCCCTGGGCCTGCGAGAGGCTCACTAGGTGTGTGTCTCTGGGGGCTGTGGGGGGGGCTCTTCCTCTGTCTCCTTGACTGTCTGCTCATTAGTGACGCTCAGGGTCTCTGAATGCCTGGCCTTTGGCACTGCCTCCTCCTCAGGTTTTGTCTCAGGTTTTGTCTCAGACCGTGTCTCAGACTGCATCTCAGGTCGTGCCTCTGGCCGTGCCTCAGACCTTGACTCTGGCCTTGACTCCTGCCGTGCCTCTGGCCTTCCCTCTGGCCGTGCCTCTTCCAGAGGCTCCAGCTTGGTGGCTGACTTCTTGTCAGAGTCAGGTTCAGGGGTCCACGTGGGATCTGCACCCCGGGAGGTCTCCCCCTCTTTGTTGACTGCTGCAGAGGACAGGCCCCGTGTCTTGGGCTGCACCCAGCAATGGCTGAGGATCTCGTCAATGTGCAGCCGCCGGTTGACGTCGGGCTGTAGCATGCGGTAGATGAGGTCTTTGCACTCGCCCGTCAGGTGCTTAGAACGTGGGAAGTTGACCCGGTGCTCCTTCTGGATACGCAGCATCTTCTTGATGTTGGAGTCGTCGTAGGGCATGGAGCCGCAGACCATGATGTAGAGGATCACACCCAGACTCCAGATGTCGTACACCTTGGGCTGATAGGGGATCCCCTGTAGCACCTCAGGAGCTGCGTACGCTGCCGACCCGCAGAAGGTCTTGCTCAATGTCAGTCGGCCGTTGTCATCCCGCACACAGCGCTTGGAGAAGCCAAAGTCGGACAGCTTGATGTTGAAGTCCTTGTCAAGGAGAAGGTTCTCACACTTGAGGTCACGGTGGACAACGTCCAGGTCATGGCAGTACTTGATGGCCGAGGAGAGTTGGTGGAACTTCTTTCGAGCATCGTCCTCTTGCAGGGCTCCCCGGGTTTTGATGAACTCGAGGAGGTCACCCTGGACCCCGAGCTCCATGACGATGTAGACCTTGCCATCTGATGTCTCAAAGATTTCGTAGGTCTTGATGATGGAGCGGTGGTTTAGCATGGCCAGAATTTCAATTTCCCGGGGAAGGAATTTCTCTAAGAAGTCCGTGGGGGCTTTCTTGCGGTCGATGATCTTGACCGCCACGTTGAACTTCAGGCGCTCAGAGTAAGCAGATTTGACTTTTGCGTACGAGCCCTCTCCCAAGTTTATTCCCATGATGTAGCCTCGTCTCTTGAGGACGGCAGCGTCATCCATGCTGCCGGGAGCGCCCAGTGCCTCTGAGGCTGCCCTCTACATCCCTGCGGGACATGGGCCAGCAGCGTCCTCATTTACACTGTGGACAGAGAGTCCTCAAGGCTGGCCGGGGCCTGCTGTCCCTGCCTCCTAGAGGCTAAGACTCTGGGGTGGAACATTCAGCACTGTCTCCCGGGTGACTTCAGTGGGTGAAGTCACAAAGGAGGAGTGCCCAGGGGGAATGAGGCTCTGGCTTGAGCTGTTTGGACTTGGAACCCTGGAAGGCCAGCCAGTAGACTGGAGCAGACTGAGGGACAGTGGAGAGTGGCCTCGTGCTTGACTGGGACCTGAGGTAGGAGGGAGCTATGGGGGACATGTCGGTAATTCTTGCAAACCAGGGCATCTTAGGAAATCCAGGGCAGATGGCCCCTATAAGAAACAGAAGACACACTCAATTCAGGTTAATTTGAGAAGGGTTCAATGAAGGCACGATTGACACAGAGTGTAGGGAAGCCCATGGGTACTCCAGTTGTCCCAAGGTAGCAGACCCCTGCCCCACATGAAGATGGAGGTAATGGTTACTGAAACCTGGAAAGAGCAGTGTAGAGAGAGCTACCTTGAGAGAGACAGTGATTTTGGTGGAGAGACAACCAGGCTGCAATGACTTCTAGGGGCTGTCAAGGGAATCGGGGGACATCCCTAATCTATTTTCCCTTCTTCTGGCCCCTGACACTGTCCACAGAAGCAGCCTGCTGGGGTGCAGAGCAGAGCTGACAAGGGTGTATCAGGGGAGTAAAGATTCCTGGCCCAGAAGTCGCTATAGTTTGGGAAGCCCAGAGTGCTCTCTGTGCGTGATCTGGCTGGACTTTTTACCACTCTGTATTTCTTTCCTCATTTAAACCTTGGCTGGCCTGCTTCTCTTACTGGCTCTGCAGGGAGACAGTGGCAGGAGTGCTGCTCTTGGCTGTGAGTTCCTTTCTGGGGACCTGCCCGGCCATGGCACTGGCTGGGCTCCCAGGGCAGATCTGGGGCTGGGAGGGCAGAAGGCTGGGCCTGGATTCCCCTCTGAGTATCGGCAGCTGCTCCTGAGAATCCTCTGTGAGGATGGTACAAGTGGCAAGGGCACTGGACAATGACCACTGTTTCTGTGGGCAGCAGGGCCACTCTGCTGTGACAGACTCCTGGTCTAACCCTTGCTCCAGGCCACACCTTGGGGGGTGGGGTAGTAGGAATTACAAGCTTGGCTCAGCCTTGGGTTTAACTTTGGCCTTATCCACCTACAGGGGTGAATGCCCCTCTCCCAACCTAAGTGTCACGGGCTGGAGTCCTGGGCCCTCAGGAGGGAGGATGCTCGACTGGGTAGGTGGAGCTGAAGGTCCCAGGAGCCTAGGCCCTTCCCCTTTTCTCTGCTCCCTGTCTTCACCTTCTTCCCCAGCTCTCACCACCCACTGCCAGGCCCATGTATGCAGCTGATGGTCCTTGCCGCTGGACATCTTGCTTCTCCCTCCTGCTGAGGACACTGTCTCCCCTCCCACATTCACCCTATTCATGATGACAGGTGTGAAGTTGGCACTTGGAGCTTGTTCCCAGGGCCTCTTAGCCTCATCTCTGCCCAGTGCTTTGCTCCCTGAGGACATGGCCTTCTCCCCTTCCCATTGTGTAATGCAGGTCCTTCCCAGGCATGGGGGTGGGATGAGAGCGGCCAGCTTTGTTCTAGTCTCTCTAGGACCTGGCCTTTGCTGCTAGCTTTCCTTGTGTGACACTCCATTAGGCCATTTCTTCCTGTATTTGAAACATTTTCACTTGTGTGTGTTGGTGAAGCCACACCTGCCTGTTCCCTACAGGACTGACTCCTGCATCTTCAAAACCTCCAGGCCTTCTGATTTGCTTATGCCCTTCTTCACAGCCGTTCAGCCTTAAGAAGACCACTTTAAGGCACTCTTGGGCCTCTGACCGGACCGGGACTGCAGGTGTGAAGACCCGTCGGGTCCTAGGGTCCAGCTTCATCTCCTTTCGGCTCCCCACCACCACGGCTTCACTGCGCACCACCCTCACCAAGTCCCTTCCAGTGTCTGTCATTGTGGTCCCGCCCCACTGCCCCTCCCCCACTCCTGCCCCTGGTCGTGGGACCCTAAACCTCTCAGATGCCGCGTCCTCAGGCTCCGCCCCAGAGCCACACCTCTCTGCCTAGCCAATGGCACGCCTCACTTATTATAGTCCCGCCTTCCCCTCCCTGCCCGCCCCCCAGTCACCCCTGTCTGTAGTCCCATCCGTAGGCCTCGCCCCTTTTGGGCTCCGCCGCTCAGGCCCCGCCCCTTACCTAGGCGTTCATTGGCCCGCACTGGCGTCGCGGGCGGGAGGCTGGGCGGCACGGAGCCGAGCAGGACGGCCGCCATCTTGCGCGGAGCCGGAGCCGGAGCCGGAGCCTGACGCTGCAGCTGAGTGCACGCGAGCCCGCAACCCAGCTTCACCGCGGTCCAGTCCTCCTGCGGCCTAGCCGGAGCCCACGCCCACCGCGCCTCCGCGTCCGGCTCCGGCCCGGTGCCCCTGACCCTCAGCCCGACCCGGCACTCCAACCCGGCACTCCGACCCACATCCCGGCCCGGTCCGGCCTCCCTGCGGGGTCACGCGGCCGTCCTGGGGACGATGAACGGAGGATAAATGGTGCCCAAGGCAGACAGCGGTGCCTTCCTGCTGCTCTTCCTGCTGGTGCTCACCGTCACCGAGCCGCTGCGGCCAGGTGCGCTGCGCGGTGGGGGCGGCGGGGGCG